ATTATTAAATAATAGGCTATGAATGCACTCCGACCTAAAATATCTATAGTGCGCCTAATGGGTCAACTGAAACAATTCTTGTAATAGCTATGGGCTTCATTTTACCTACTTGATTTGGGACTAAGATCCCGCTTCCAAAGTAGTCGAGTCTACGTCTTGCCGCCGCTGTGCAGTTGCATAGGATATGTCTCTTCTCCTCATGACAGAGTCGGCAGGAATCATTTTTTACTGCACCCATATTTTTCATATGGTAATTGAGTCTACAGTGTCCTCTAAGAAGTACTGTGAAAATTTTAATATTCCTTCTGATAAGGTTAAGGATAGCATCAACTTTTGTGTGTTCAGGATCAATGAATATTCTTGACTGTCGCATGCCTGTTTGAGCACTCCAGTCTTCAAGTAGATTTTGTTTACCCCGTTCACATATTAAGTTAGTTGAGCAGCTAATTGTTAGCCCGCAGAATGACTCTGGACTAATGAAAGGAGTACATATTTCGGTTAATAACTTTGGACTTCTATCAGATCATCATTGGCTGAATTTTCTAAACCTGGTTATACTATAGGATTTTGGGGTTATTCAAAGTGAAATGTTTAGATGATTTTTTAAGTATTTCATTACCATGATTTAAAAACTTTTGAGTGATTATATTTAGTACAAATTTGTAATTTCGATCGCAATGCAATGAGAAACGAGATATCTATAATTAACTATTCCATTTCATTTTAAACTTCTTTGTTTAAATTTTAAACAATGGATAGGCCATTGCTAGATATTGGCGGGCACATTTACTAAATTTATTCATTTATTATACATTAATATAAAAGTTTGCTCAATATACATTGAAATCAAATATATAAAATAAAAATGTTAATAAATAATGAAAATACAGAAAAGAAAAACTAATTAATATTGGTAACCAAGTTTGTGTAGCCGAATCTATCTTAAGCCATTCATGGATTTTTCTAAGTCGCAGGATCTGCTTTCATCCGTTATTCCGTTTTTCTTTTATTCTTCTTTGTGGCATCATTTATAGTAGTTTTATTTCCAATAATCAGAACAAATAATATATTAAAGAAACGATTATAATATTCTCAAGTTACCCGGACTATTTTGTTTTTTTTTCAACATTCAATGAAATTTGAACAAAGTCACTTAAATACTTGCTCAGATAACCGCATTTGAAGTACGTAAACACCGAAAGAGTTTTATTGACAAATCCTTTTCATTCCTGTGGTAAAATTGCGTTTATAAATTTATTGACAATCGTGCTTATGTGAAAACTTTCACAAAACTTTTCTCTTGAGCTATAAGGCACATAGAATCCTTCCGACCATAGCAGTTGGCTTTTTGGTTGTCGCTGTCAAAAGTGTTACCGCGCGTCAAACATTTTCATCAAATCCATTGTTTAAGTAGCTTTTAACATCCTTAATGTCGCAGCAGAAGTTTTGCATAAACGTAAATCTGATATCTTGTCAAGTTTCTAATCTGAAAGTTTTATCAGCTGCCTACAGTCATTTTCAATATTCACAGCAAAACTACAAAACAAACGTGAATTTAAGGATAATTCGCATTTGTTTCGAGTATTTCACCCATTTGAAGTTTATTGCGCTAATAAAAAAGCCATCCTAAAAGTAAGTTCTAGATATCCTTTTTACGTATCTTTTGCTTAGTCAGCACTACGGAAGCTTTAAATTTCATTGAAAGAAGCAATTTCTCCTTTGTTGTTTAACTTACAGACAAAAGGACATCGAGTACAGACAAAAGGACATCGAGATAATAAAAGTTTTGCTCGTAGATTTAGTTGAGTAATGTTGTATGTTTACACATTAAACATTTGTTCATTTTAATTAAATACTTTCAGATATTCAGATTTGGTATCAGATTGGGACAGTCCAAAATATTTTAGTTAACTAAAGCTTTTATTTAAGTGTGTAAAATAACGTATTCTTTTGAAACTAATTCATTTTTATTATTTTATGACGTGGAAGGAGTCATAGAAGAGCATATTAGAAGAAAAATGTGAATCAACAAAATATTAATAACTAAATAATCTTCAGTTTTATTTCCTAGTATTTAGATCATTTTTAGAAAACTGCTCATATAATCACAAGAGTATAATAAATATTGATGAAGCCATGTGAATATTTAAATTTGTGTTTATGAAATCGTTTATCTATTTAATAAAGTTTTTGTTTTTGTTCATCATAGTATCTGGAAGATTGTTTTTTATAAGTTACACAAAGAAATGAGGATTACATTCTCTGAATTAAAAAGAATGGTGTACTAGAAGGTAATGTTCTTGAACCCGCTTTGTATTTATTGAATACGTCCGACTTGTCTTTACATAACATATACATCACTGCACTATTAGCAAATGATACCTACTTATGTTTTGCCAATGGAAAAAATATATGACGCAATGAGTTAATTGAAATCGGAAGTTGTAATGAGTACTTAACACTCGTGTCATACTCGAATCATTAACGGTATTCCATTTACACGCATTCTGGCTCTCTTTATCGTATTTTCGAGTCCACTTGACGTACAGCTAACAGCACTTATAATGATTTAAACTCTTGCCAAATGATATTCATAAACACCGACGCTCGACACAAGAAATGTACAATTGATTTACGAAATAGTCATGAGTACTACGTCACAGTCGGCAAAAATTTGCCTGCTGTTGTTTACTGTGAATACAATTTCCAATTAACGCAACCCCTAGTTTAATGCACATTTAATATTCAAGAACACATATAAAATACTTGCATATCAAATGCTTATAACAACAACGCACACCAAAAGCATAGCACCAACACTTAAAAAAAATATAAAATACATACAAATTTTTTGCTTAGAAAACATCAGCGCTTACATAAAATTTCTACAAATGCCAAAACTGATTCAAACGGCAGTCATTCATTTTCGATTAGTACATTCATTGATTCATACCACTCGAGTCTATTCATGAATCATTTGCCATTTATGCTGCTTTACTTATAGCTGTGTACGTGCTCTTTTGACGCTGATTCATTAGCACCTGCATTCGTTAACGAAAACACTTATAAATCACTTCTGTGGGGAAAGTGAATGTGTATGAGTAGTGCATGAAAAAAATATTTATACGCATTTATACTCGGTTTTTATTAATGTACTTTGAGTATTAAAATTATGACTCATTGCAGTTCTTTGATACGGAATGGTGATGCATTAAGCTCAAAAAATCGGTGTTCATTAACTTTGCATTAAGAAATATGGGCATATCCATCAATGGTATAAGTATTGTATATGAAAACAATGCTAAATATATGATAGAACACTCGGTGCGGGAAGCATATGCAAAGAAAAACTGAGTAGAACTTAACTGAAGACTATATAAATAGTCGTTTCTTATCGGCAGGCTCTCGACAATGGCTTACTGCTGTCCTCTGCCAAGTGGAGCATAGGTTCTCAATGATTCCTCTGAATCTTATTCTGTTGTCTACTTCTCTCGTGATTTGGTTCCAGTAGTACTGTGCGCCTTTAAGCTCCTGGTCCACGGTTATTCGTCATGTCTTAACTAGGGCTTCAGGCCGTGGCTGATTCGTGGGTTCCGGCGTAGGGCTTGTTTTGTTATGCAGGTGAATGTTATTGAAAAACTGTAATTAACAGTTTTCTCATATTTCAAAGTCTTTATATGTTAATTAATTTTATTCGGTTAGGATATTGATTATACTTAATATTAGAATATAATATATTAAACTTTATGTTAGAATATAATATATTAAAAAATAGTACTATATATAATTTCTTAATATATATTTTTACAAAAAACTTAAAAAAATAAATATTTCACACTTTTAGTTACCTTCATAATTGTATCTGTCAAAATAAACGATTTTGCTTTAATTTTGTCATAATGTTTAATTTTTTATTCATTCGTAAATATTTATTTAATTTTTAAATTATTTTGCTTTGATGCTGCTACATCAATTTTAGCAAAATCAATTTAATCTCAATTGTTGACAATATTGTTATGTTTATTTAATGTGAACAGAATAATAATTACTTTTTCATTGATATGATATTTATCCATACAATAACAAAGTACAAAGTGCATAAATTACTCGACAATTAAATCACATAAATTTAAATATTTAACATTATATAGTCGAAATGAGTCAATTCAGTTCACATATAAGCATTTAAGCAAACTGAGACAAATTTAAAATAGTTTCAAATCGATTTTAATATGGCACTTTAAGTACCATAGTGCCAATATAGAACAATAAATCCAGTAATGCATAAACGAAAAAAATATCCAACTAGGTTTTTTCTATCTGATCTAGAAATAATATTTAAAAAATAAATTTGGATGCTACAAATTTTCGAGGGAATTGTACACAGTTACTTGCAGCTCGGTCACTGGGCAGTATCGGAAATTGAGAAATTGATGAGCTAGCCAGAATTGCATCATAAACAGCTTTTACAGGCCCTCAACCCTTTTTAAATTGGTTCAGTAAAAAAAAAATAATCAAGGTGAGAGAGAATCGTTAGCGATTGGTGGACTGAGAAGATTCCCCAGGACTTGTACAAAACAAAACACTTATCAAATCATACTAATACCAAAACATTGTTAAATACTCAAAATGTAATTTAACATAAGGTTGCTTATGGGTTTCATAACGGATCAGTACGGTCTGTAATATCATCAAAAAACTACTATTATCTGTTAATTCGGAATGCAGATTATGCCTCGAAAATGAGGAAACAATTATACATATTTCACCATCTGTTACCAGAACAGATTATTGAAGTCAAAACTTTTATATGAGTGATATCTAAAAATGCATAGGTATGACCCTGAATGTTTACCTAGGATATAGTAAGTGTAATATAATTTGGGAATAATAATTTTTCGTTAAGTTCTAGCAAGCCATGTTTTTATAAAAATTTTAAATTTTGTTTATTGTATAGTATTTAAATATATGTTGAATTTTATATTTCATTATAAATTTTATTTTATGAAAGTTGTTTTAAAAATTTTGGTCCTTTTTCTAAATTTAAATATGTCAAAATTTTTTAGTACAATTAGAGTCAGTAAATTAGTCTATGATCAATTAAAAAAGTATGTGGAATAATTTTCATTTAATTTTAACTTAAACTTAATTAATATATTGTTTATTCATAGTCGTAAATTTTCGTCATCCAAGTCAGATAGTATCACAGCAGACCAGTGGGAAGAAGTGAGTTGAGTTCAGTAATATATTCAAATTATTTATTATATTAACGTTGACAGGCAAAATCGAAACTTGAAAAACTCCAAGAAAGGATCAGTGGGGTCAAAGCGACTAATAATGAAGAATTAAAAGCACGAAATAGTAAGACAAAGCTCCTTGAGATGGTTCAACAGGTTTTACGGACAAAATTAGAACATGATTAGATTCATTCATTTTTTGTGATACCTTCATGTTGCAAATAAGAACTCGATAAACTTAAGGTATATTTTACAGTAATATGTATATAGACTTCAGGAATTTTCAATGTGATAAAATGTAAGTTTGAGTGAATTCGAAATAAGTATATGTCTTTGACAGAATTGCATCCAAAGACCAAGAAATGTATACCGGTATCGTAAAGCGGTGAATGCAAGGTGTATCTGATCAAATTGGAAGCTGAAGACTGTCTTTTGTTGATTTTATGGTTAATCTCAATGTTGAGTGCCAGAGCAATGCTTTCCAAAAAAAGCCATACTTTCACAAGTATGGTACCTTTATACATCTCGGAAACGATCTTTCCGATAGAAAAAAATAATATGCTGCTTCTCATTTACTTTGTCTAAAAGTAATAAGTCATGTGTATAGAAATCCTTACTACATATTGTCTACAGCGATTTTCTGAAATGAAGAGGTAATTATGCCGAATAACCTTGAGAGGAGCGCACGTAAATACTCTAAATATCCTGTGTAGAAAATTTAGTGAGGCAATAAGGTCTGCATATACCTAAAAATAGAGAATTTCGAAATATATTTATAAAATTATTTTAATATATAAGGTTTTTTGAAAATGTGACAAAGTTCAAAAGGTCGTATTCAAGTCTGTATAAATTCCACAACAACTAAGCTGAAGTAAACCAATGACTGACTGGAACCAGGTCCTTTATTTTTTGTTACAAAATTTCTTGTGAAATCCATTCCTGTTATATATTTTGTATAAATAAATAATAAAGTTTTATTTGCAGTATTAAATAAAGACAAAGAAAAATTAGTTTGAAGCAGATATTTAATGATTTTCGTAAATTTTTACGGGAGTATTAATTATTTTTGATCGGTTTTAATTTGTGTATATTGGTTATTTTCGCACTACATTTAAAGTAATTTAATTTTTTTTTTTAAATCACTTGTTAAATATTTGAAATATTTAAAGCGAAAACTTCACTAATCTTGCACGAAATGTAAGTAAAAAAGATACGAGAATTAACTTCAACGATGAGAAATATTATTTTCCAATTTACGGAATCAATTTATGTAAAACCGGCAAAAACGACTCTATCTTAGGGTTCAACTAAACAGAAAGTAAAGGAAAAAATGTAAATTGGAAGATAAAAGGCTGAGAAGAAAATGAGTTTTCGTATCAGGCAAATTAAGCTCACAGATACGCGATGGCGAATCTCAAGAAAAAAATTCCGTAAATAAATAACGTGTAATGTGATTAAGGCCCACTTACATGAATTCTAATGAGTAGGGCGTGTATCGTCTGCGATGCTATCTAAATGAATTCAGGATATGAATATTTTGACTAAATGAGCAAATTTTTGCGCTGTTTTGAACACCCATCCAAATAATTTTTCTTATTTTGCATTAGATGAGGGATAAGGTTTATGGTCTTTTATTTGTCGTATTTAGACGAGTAGGTTATGTACAATGGAGTTGTATTATTATTTAATTTTTTTCTTCTATTATTATATTGTAAACAATAGGAAGTTTTGAATAACATAGGATTGCTGATATTTTAATTATGGAAATTCAATGAAATTATCATTTATTTATAATAAATGAATGATTGTTAATAATTGTTTTTAGTTCATGAAATATCGGATTATAAAAGTTTTGCTAACAATTTAATATTCTTTAAATTATATAAAGAATAGAATTTATTTTTTATTATAAGTTTAATATATATATATAGTATGTGACATTTTGTAATTTTATATATAATTATATGTTATATATCAACAATATATATTTATTCTATTTTATTTTAACATATTTAACTTTTCAGCAAAATGTACTATATTTAACTCTTGGTCAATAGACCTAGATATCAATAGAATTGTCAATATAGGCAGTTATTTTAGAAATAAGGTTTAATGGTACGGTTAATAAGCTTTATTGGTCTATTTAGGGGGTCCTGATCACCTCAGCACCTTGTTTAATTTCATTAATTCAAACACCAAACGTCTGGTTTTCGTCTAGAGTCTAAACAAATAGTGAAAGCAGTATTACTTAATCGATCTATTTCGGTTAGGAGTTTAAAATTATATATTACATATATATAAGGATTTATTGGGAGTGAAGGACACAAAAAAATATTTTTCCTTAGCAGTACAGTTTTTTGTTAGCTCACAAAATATGTGTCGAAGACTATGAGTACTTCAAAATATTAAAAATATTAAATTTTGAATACAATATAATACAATAGTGTGAAACCAATTACCTCAATTTTAGTAAACCAAGCTAAATTTAAATTGTTTTTGCAGTTAGAATATTTCTTGGATTTTATATATAAAAACCATTTAAAAAATTAAATTCGGAGAAAATTAATTTATTCAGTTTCAACAAGATGGAATATATTTACTTATTTTTATCATTGTTATATGAATATGTATGACATTCCTAATTTCATATTGTTTTTTAAATAAAATTTAAAAAAATTGCTATAACAACATCAATCATAGTTGTTTCATCCTTTTTTTTTAATAATTTTTAAAATTTCTCAAGCTGAGACTACAACTCACAACTGATGTTCTAAAGCTTAGGAGATAAATTTGAGGTGAATGAGAAAATGTACGCAAACTTCAATCAACTAACGTAAAAACTAAATAAAAGTATATATATATGTATATATATACTGTATATATATATATATATATATATTATATATATATATATATATATATATATATATATATATATATATACATATAAGGATTTGTATGTGTACATATCCTTTAGTTAAAGCAAGGAGGAAATGCGAAATTCATCACTTTGTCACGTAAGTGCATAATTCATTTTTCATTGGTTTCGTTTCGACAGCTTATGAAACGCATTTGCAATTGACAGACGAGGATTGGCTATACAGACTTAACCTGTGAAATCTAAATTTATGCATTTGACTAGGAAACGTATTTTGTGAATTATTACGAAAACATAGTTTTGCAGTGAATTTGCTTCGTGAACAGGCTTTTAAACTAAATTATTTAGGAACGATAATTTGTGATATATTGGTGGCGTCAATATAAGTCATTGGAATTAATTACCAGAAGGTGGAGGGTAATTTACCACATAGTTTTTTCTTTTAGAAAAACCTAGCAATGACAGTTCCAGTTCTACAGAAATACAACAAACTTAATGAACCTATTAGGATGACTTTGTTGTGAAAATCCTTAAGCCATACAAGATAGTTTGGTTGTTTTATTGCAGCTAAGTATGTCGTTTAAGGAATTAAATAAATTAAAGGATTTCAATACAATTTTCTAGTAATATATTCCACAGAATGCTGTTTAGCAGCTCAAAGGATTTCCAAAGGAGAAAGAGGAAAAATTTCAAAAAAAAGGTAGATACTCTTCTTGTTTTTACCGAAAAGAAAACTAGACACCTATTAAAAACTATTAGAAACCGATTAGTAAATTGGAAAAAAATGTATTCATTGATATAAAATATCATTTATTTAATCAAGTAAAACGCAAGGAAAAATTTGAGAAATTGTTGGAAGATTGGTTTGACAAAAGTTCTAAACTAATAATATCTTTTCAGTTTAATTATTTTAAATTTCATATGGAAGGGCAAACACGAATAACAATGTATCATATTAAATTATTATTATCATTATATTGATCCATCATACACTGCAACCAGGAAATCTATTGTATCCCCTTAAGGACTTAAAGTATTACTCTGAGCACTTCTTCTATAAATTGTAGCATTGAACGTATCGCACAGAGTTTTATTTCTTCATATATATAGATATATAAATATATCTATCGATTATACATTTTATGTCCGGCAAGTTACTAGCACGTGCTTTGAGGAAACTCAGAGTAAGTTTCCAGTTCTGAAAGAATATAGCTTAAGCTGCAATGCTCTGTCGGTATTTTTGTTATGATTCTGGAATTATTTTGACTTAGTTGTATACAATCCTGTGGTGTTATCAATCATATTGGTGGAGTAAATTTTGCGTAATTTAAAAATGTTTACATGTCAAACTTTTTGAATGTCAAAATTAGATTTTTTCGAAACCGGGCTAAGCTTTTAAGGCTGAAGGATTGAGTTTGTCGCTAATAAATAAACGACATGAAAATAGGCAATAGTATAATGATTGCTAAAATCCTAAAAACGTTTTACGTTAAAAGTCCCTATAAGCGGTTTTCATTGTGATGGCTTTGGTAGATCATTCCAGCATAGATTATTTTATTTCTCCTTTTTTCCAAATGGGAAAGAAAAAATCACTGCTGCAGAATGGTACCAAGCCTACAGGCAGTGAGACTGTTTGTCTTATAAAAATTTTTATCGATTGTTGGATATAATAATTATGAAACTAAAGGGATTTACAAGTTAAGTTGGGGTTTCTTTTATGGCTAATGGCTATTGAGTACTAAGATTTTTAGAATATAACGTGCTTCTTCGTTTTTATGATCCTTTAGCCCATTAAAGTATGTATTTGCATGTTTTTCTCTGAATCAATTTTCTCTTTCAGGATCAGTATATTAGAGTATATATATAATAATATATATCAACATTTCTAATGTAGCATGACCCTTTATGATTATTCGAATAAGATTATTTGGAATATCTTCAAATATATTTAAGTTCTGCTAACTAGCACATCCAGATGTATTTGATATGAAATGACAGTCCTGGGTTCACTAGCTTATTATAAAAGAGCACCTAGCTATATATAGGCTATATATAGGCACCCGGCTATATATATAGCCACCTGGCTATATGATTAATAAATTTATTTCACTTAATTTAATATAATTATTAGAAGCACTGTGGCGCAAATATAATAATCGTATATAAAGAAGCATAGTTATTAGAAGCATTATTTTCTGACGATGGACTTCCGTTTTTAAAATTTAACACATTTTAAAAAACAAGTCATATTTTAAATATCTTAAATTTTAACGATATCTCGTTTGGTGTTATACTATCTGATAGATACTCGTAGACAATTCGAATACATGTTAGATGAAATTGTAAAATGCAGATGTTGGCAAATTGAATCGAAAGTGAAAAATCATTTCTGTGACAAATTTTGTTGTTCAAAGCCATTCGAAATGAAATTGAAATAAGTCGCATTAATAAAACTTTTATGTTCAAACTTTATTGACATGACATTGCTGAATACTTTCAGCTATTGTGATAACATGAAAACTCAGTTTAAACATACGAATCGAGATTTTTACAAGTCAGTATCTTCTTCTAATAGTTGCATACAAATAGAAATAGAAATAAAATACCTACCAAATTCAATAAAACTTGCATATATGCAAGTATGCGATATGTGATGCATCAATCGGAATTGATTCATATATTCACATAAAATTTGTTGAAATGCTTATTTTGTCAAACGATGATGAAATGTTCACACTCTAACAATATCTGCATAATCTTGAGAATTATGTCGAGACAAATGGATTTAGTGATATAAGCCTATCTGTATGTTCGTTTATTGACTAACTCTGGCTTTACATTACTGTAACAGATTTATATGTGTAAACTTTATGTTATATGAAGTCAGTCATATCAACTAAAGAACTTGTTATAATCAATAGAAATAATTAACTTGTAATCTCACTTTGTATTATAGTACTAGTATGTTTTGTATTAGTTTAAGCAACCCTAAATAATGAAATGTAAATAAAAGTTAGTCAAATATAAATTGCCAATCGTTGGTATTTACTTCAGAACTCATTAAAATAGATTGACTACACCATGTAGCGGGATTACTTC